CTCCGACCTACCTGTCGGCTTGTGGGTTTTTCCACAGCTAGGTATCTCCCACTAGCGGGGTACCGCTCCAGCCGCTTTAAGCTCTAGAATGGTCTCCTGGCACTGTAATGCATGTCAGTGTGTAAGGGCTGAGGATAAGACAAGAAAGAGGAACATGAGGTCGTGCGTAGTGTTTTTAGGGTGCATATAGTGTCGTGTGAAAGTGGGTGTGTCAAGTGTAAATAGAATCCAGGGTGAATGTGCGAGTGAATGAAAAAAAAAATATCCAAGAAAACAACATGAAATGAAATACCAATACAGTTTTGTGCAAATCTTAGGTTGCCGGCCAAAGCGCCAGCTTTATCCATAGGTTAAGTTAGAAACAAGTTAGTAAGTAAGCACTGCTCACTTCTTTGCCGCATAAGCCAAAGAGCTGCGGCACATGTACCCCATGACAATAAACTCCCGCACCCCAGGGCTACTGGCGGGGGGAAAGTTGAAAAAAAGGTCGTGCGCACTCCGTGGTCCATTTGTTAGGCTACTCAATAGGTTCTAACATACACGGCTTCTATTAATGTGCTCCGTTGCTGCAGCACAGATGTTGCGCTTCTCCTTTAAAGTATTTTTATTGAACTCTTTTAATTTACGCTGAAGTCGATCTTCCGCTGATGTACTTCGGTAGTCAAACTTGTGGCCTTTGAAGAGAGTAGCATGCATTGTCTTGCCAATTCCTGACGTAGATAATGTAAATATCTTCCTTAACGTCACAACGAACTGCCAGATTTGCAGAATGGTTTTGAATATCGTATTATTTGTGATGAATTCAGAAAGCGTTTTAGAATTTTTTTTTCGTGTTATGGAGAATTGTTAGATATTCTGCCCCTATTTTTTACAACCACGATTCATCACTACTTCAGCTTTAATAACATTAATAATTTTGTACAATAACACGTTAGGAAAAATACTGGAAAGAACTATTCGTTTTTACGGAAAGTTCTTCAACGTACGTTTACTATTGGGTGGCACAAGGATTCCTGAATCGCACCTCGTAAGCAGAAGCGGCGTATCATGCCCGTTCATCACCACATCTGCTATCCCCCCTGCCCTCCCTTTCCCGCCATGGCGCGCCCTCGACATTCAACTGGAATTCGCCTGCGCATTTGCACGATGTGCGCTCCCCGCATTTCGGGCGTACCGCGTGCGTGGGGATAAAATGACTTCATAACTGGGCGCAGATATTTTCAGCGGCGCGGGAATACCCGAAATTGAAGCGACGGCTGCGGTCCGACCCGTCCGCGCCCAGCCGCGCGCCCCCGCCCGGTCCGTCCCCCTCCTCTGCTCCCCTTCCCTCACTCTTCACCAGCCCCGGCCTCCCTTGCCATCATCCTTGCCCGCACCGCTCTTCAACGATTCACGCTTCACCAGATCCTCTCTTCGAATGCCCAGCACTTCGGTTATTCACCAGCCAGCGCTTCACCAACCTGCTCTTCACCATCCCGCGCTTCACCAGCCCGCGCTTCACCAGCCCGCGCTTCACCAGCCCGCGCTTCACCAGCCCGCGCTTCATCAGTCCGCGCTTCATCAGCCCGCGCTTCATCAGCCCGCGCTTCACCAGCCCGCGCTTCAGCAGCCCGCTTTTCAACCACCACGGTCTTTCACTCCATGCTATTCCCTTTCCGGCTTCCTCAGCCTTTCGCATACCGTCGATACTTTTCAGTGGCGTCTGACCCTTACGACAGAGTAGAATTTTAATCTTTCCTGACTCGACGGTGCCTTCATTGGTTTCAATCTTCTTAAAATCAGTACAAAAGTATTAAACATTTGTACCGGTTTCAAAAATGCTTGTAGAATTAAAATAATTTTTCTTAACACATTATCTTTACAATTATCAAATATTTTAATTTCTTAACACGCTTAACACATTACGAATAAAGTATAAAGAATAAATCGGAACACAAAATTACATTGTACCACTTTGAATGCATCAATACAACAATTTGAAGTGATTAAAATCTCATTTTTAATTACTCTGAGGGATTCATGTTTCGAGAATTTATGAGTGTCAATATGTTAAATAGTTTTTACAGAAATGGTAATTAATTATATTATAAAAGTAGAAATATCACTCGCCTCCACACATAGACATACAAACAGACGTAAGTATTCAGGTCATCGATTTTTCAAATAGTAAATTTTACAATTTTCATTATGATAAAAACGTGATTGTATTATTAATCTTTATTTTTGCATAAAATAGTAGTAGTGTGGCGATGTATATTGCATCATAGGGCATCCCATCCTTCACTTCTGTCTATTGCTATTGTCTTCATTCTTTATTGCTCTCTTCTCCATTGACTCTTCTACTCCTTCTCCCCGTGAAAGTCTAGGTCTTCGTCTCCTTCGATGTTGACATTCCCACATTTTCGGTTAACGTACTTCATACCTACCATTTTACCCTTTTTACTTCAACAGTGTTCAAACTTACTTGCGCTTTACATTTAATTTCTTCGCTAATAACTTTGTCCATTAAAGTCAGTCCGCAATTCTGCACAAGTCTTTCTAATACTGTCAATTTTTTTCAGTCTTTCTTGTTACTTCTTATACTTCAGATCCACAAAAGAAAAACTCTCTTTGATTGTATATACAATTTTCTCTTACTTCGTTTTTTTCGTGTACTCATACTTCATTTTTCTTTCCATGTCAGTGGATGTAATTGTCTTATAGCCACTTCGCCTTTTGCAATTCCGTTTTTATTATCTTACAAACTGCGTAAATAGTTGTTTTTTAAATATGTCTCACTTCACTTCATTTTTTTCGGCAACCTTAGGCAGGGGCCCGCTACCACGCCCCCTCCTGCTGCAAGAAGTCACCGGCTTCCTCCGCAACTTCGCGGCGGCG